AATGCAAATCTTTTGCTTCCCCACACTATAAAAGGTGTAATCTGATTGTCTTAAAAAGTTTGGTTACCCTTTTTGAGTTAGTTTAATTCATTTTCTTGACCTGGTAAATGGCATAAAGCTGTTTATCAACAAATTGCAATTTATATACGTACTATTGCTGGAATGTGCTTGAGTTGGGTGATTGGAAGCAGCCAGGGAAGGAAAAGAGATAGATGTAGACTTGTGATATTTGTCAAAGTATGATTCCTAGAGCTAAAAAAGTTATTGATTTTTAAATAACTTCCTAGGGCGGAAAGAATACATTCTCTAGGGGCATCCCTGGGCAAGTTAGTAAGCAGTAGTAGCTGAGCAGCCAACTGATTTGACTGGCATAGAAAGGCATCTGCCATGATTATAACTTCCTTGTTCGAACCAAGGGAGTGATTAGAAAGTTATGTCTCAAGGGAGAAGTTGTCCAGTCTGCAGAAAGGTAGTAGGGGACTAAGAGGGCTGGGGAGGAAAGAGGAGGAAGAGTCGTTACTCACCAACCCTATGTGATTGCTTACCACAAGGAATACCACTTCTACAGGAAGAAGAGCTTGATTTTCTCTGAATATGTCAGTCAGTCAGTCAGTCAGCTGTCAACATGCATTTGTTAAGTGCCTACTACATGCCAAGCACTGTGCTCGGCTCTGGGGACACAAAGAGCAGCCAATAAACAGACAGTCCCTAGTCTCAAGGAGCTAATAGTCTATGACAGGATAAAAAGTGTCTAGGTATTTTAAATAATCTTATAATTGTTACTGTCCAAAAAAAAATGTAATGGGCTACCTTGTGAGCTTTTAAGGCCCCTCCCTTCCAACTCTAAGATAGTAGTATTTGATTTTGTGTTTACCCAGCAGCTCCTCATAGCAACAGAAGAAGATTGCAGTGAAACTGATGCTTACAGCTGGATTGGTGGCTGTGGCTACCACCAAGGCCAATCTGCTAGCCTCATGACTTACTATCTGTGAAGATGAAGTAGGCAGCTACCTTCACAATATAATTTCAAGACTTTAATAAGGCTTACTCTCCTCCAGATAATCTTGTGTTATAGTGCTGTCTTTCAACCCTTTCCCATAAATACATTAACATGGAATAGTTTATTGAACTGGCTAGGTATCACGTTGTCATCCTGGCCCTGAGAGAATAAGTTACAGAGCCCATTTGGGGTTGGGGAGGGAGACTCTGTTAACTGCCACTGTGGGAACATGATATAAAGAGAACTGGGCAAGGAAGAGCAGTTACATGGAAATAGTATACTGTGCTATGGGAGACCTGTTGTAATGCAGGAGTTATTAGCCTTTTATTGTGTTATAGACTCCTCAATGAATAAAACAAGTGATATAAGATTACAAAGGAAACTGATTTTATTGAAATGAAGATGTATTTTTTTTCTTATTTGAGTTCACAGACCCTTTGAAATCTATTCCCCAGCGTCTTTAGAGGTCAGTGATCTCAGGGTAAGAATTCCTGTGCATAGAGCGCTGAACTTGGCAGTCAAGAAGACCTGGGTTTGATACCACCTCAGTCAGATACTACTAGCTGTATAGCCCTTGAAAAGTCCACCTTTGTTTCATCTCTTAAAAAAATAGGGTTGGAGGCACAGCTAGGTGGCACAGTGGATAGAGCACCAGCCCTGAAGTCAGGAGGACCTGAATTCAAATCCAGCCTCAGACCAAACACTTGACACTTACTAGCTATGTGACCCTGGGCAAAACACTTAACCCCAATTGCCAAAAAAAAAAAATGGGATTGGAATGAGTTCATGATTTAGATATAAAGTCTATATACTATAAGCAAACTGAGAGAGCAAGGAATAGTTTACCTGTCAGATTTATGGAGAACAGAAGAATTCATGACCAAACAGGAGAGAGAGAACATTATGAAGTGCAAAATGGATAATTTTGATTACATTACATTGAAACGTTTTTGCACAAACAAAGCCAATGCAACCAAGATTAGAAGGAAGGTAGAAAATTGGGAAAGAATTTTTACAACCAGTCTCTCTGATAAGGGCCTCATTTCTCAAATATATAGAGAATTAAGTCAAATTTGTAAGAATACAATCCATTCTCCAATTGATAAGTGGTCGAAGGATATGAACAAGCAGTTCTCCGATGAAGAAATTAAAGCCATCTATAGTCACATGAAAAATGCTCTAAATCATTCTTGATTAGAGAAATGCAAATCAAAACAACTCTGAGGTACCACATGACACAATAGCAAAATGATAAATATTGGAGAAGATGTGGGAAAATTGGAACACTAATGCATTGTTGGTGGAGTAGTGAACTGATCTAACCATTCTGGAGAACAATTTGGAACTATGCCCAAAGGGCTATAAAAATGTGGCCCAGCAATAGCACTTCTAGGGTTATATCCCAAAGAGATCATACAAATGGGAAAAGGGCCCACATGTACAAAAATATTCATAGCAGCTCTTTTTGTGGTGGCAAAGAATTGGAAATTGAGGGGATGCTTATAAATTAGGCAGGGGCCGAACAAGTTGTGGTATGTGACTGTAATGGAATACTATTGTGCTATAAGCAATGATGAACAGGCGAACTTCAGAAAAACCTGTAAAGACTTGTATGGACTGATGCTGAGTGAAGTGAGCAGAACCAGGAAAACACTGTACACAGTAACAGCAACATTGTGCAATGACTAATTTTGTGAGAAGGTGACCAAACTTCTCAGCAATGGAAGCATCTAAGACATCTCCAGAGGCCTCGTGATGGAAAATGCTATCCACATCCAAAGGAAGAACTATGGAGTTTGAATACAGATCGAAGCATACTAGATGCCATTTTTTTCTTCTGTTTTGTTTTGTTTCTTCTTTCTGAGGGTTCCTCCTATTGGTTCTAATTCTTCCTTACAACATCACTAATGTGAAAATATGCTTAATAGAAATGTATATGTAGAGCCTATATCAGAGTACGAGCCGTCTTGGGGAGGGAGGTGGGGAGGGAGAGGGAGAAAAATTTACAACTCAAAAGCTTATGGAAGTGATTGCTGAGAAATCAAAATAAATTAATAAAAATAAGGTTGGAATGAATGACCTCTTAGGTTCCTTCCAGGTCTATGACCTGTGATCCTAAGATACCAGTGAGTAAAAGACACTAATGTAAACTTGATCTTTGTTAAAATTTCCCTAGGAGCATCCCTGGATATCCCACTTCTGAAATTGCCAAGCATGATATAACAAGTGTCAAGTATTTCATTCTGTAGAAGGAAAAGTGACCTCTAGCTGGGGTTACCAGGACCTTTCTAGGGGCTAGAAATGGTGATCTTCCCTTTAAAAATAGGAACATTTGCAGCCATAAGCTGCTGGTACTGCTGGTGCATTGATGAATTGCAAGCAATGTTATATAACACTAGTAAATTTTTTTGTGTGAGATATGCTTAAGGTCAACCCCTTCATGGAGGGCATTTATAGATTGTACAGGGTTGAATGAATATGCCATTTGATGACTTGACTAATCATGATAGTTGTGTAATTAATATCTTAGTGAGGTTAGTAATTTTCTCATGATTTTTTTATTTAATCAGGGTCAAACAGAAGGCATAACAACTTAAGGGCTCTAATGTCCTTTGGTTCTAGAAAAGTCTTTTGTGAAACGTATTTAGTTAAAAGCTCTTTCTGATGTCACATGTGATGGCACACCTGCAACTCCTGCTGTTGGTGAGGCTGAAGCTGGTGGATCTGTTGAATTCAGGAATTCTGAGCTGCAGTGGGATTAAGCAACTCAGGTGTCTGTACTAAGTCCAACACCAACACCATCTTGGTGAGCACCCCGGATTTAGGGGCTGCCACACTCTACAATACATAAGGAGGAGCAGGCTGATCCCGGTCAAGTATTGTTGTTCAGTTGTTTCAATCTTGTCCAACATTTCATGACCCCATTTGGTGTTTTCTTGGCAAAGACACTGGAGTGGTTTGCCATTTCCTTCTCCAGTTAATTTTACAGATGAGGAAACTGAGGATTAAATGACTTTCCCAGGGTCACACAGCTAGTAAATGTCTGAGGTGAGATTTGAACTCAGGAAGATGAGCCTTCTTGACTCCAAGCCCAGCACTCTATCCACTGCATCACCTAGCTGTCCAGTGTCAAATATGAAGCAGATCAAAGCTCCCATGCCAATTAGGAGCGGAATCAAGCCTGTGAGTAGGCACTTCACTTCTAATCTGGGTGAGGTTGGAAGATCTAGTCTCAGAAAAGCAACATAAAAGCCCTTTGTAATGTCAGTGTTGAACAAGGAAAAATCCCTGCAATCTAGGTAGGCTTCCTGAATTAGGAAGCTTTGTATAGGAAAGCTTAGCTTCATTCCTACTTCTGGAGGAGACACTCTTTCTGTCCGTCTTTCATAGCTCTGCAATGAAAAAAATAATAACAATCCTCTACCATCTCATTTAAACTCTTGTTTGTCCTTTTTGCATGGCTCCTTTCATCCTGTCTAACTGCTTCTGTTTCAGTACAGGGGGAATTTGCTGCTGCTTCCCGCTGTTATTACCTAGAGATCACATGTGTCCTCCCACCCCACCAGTGACAGGGAAGCTGTTGTCCCCACCTCTGGGAGTAACCGCTACCCTACAACTTCTGTATCTATTGCAAATGACTTTATTACTTTTAGAGCAGACCAAAAATCATTTATAATGCCTTTAACTTTGACTTTTGGATCTATCTACACAGTTCTTCATATACATTGATAGGGAAGTTTTAGATAATAAATACTTTTGATAGATGTTAGACACTTGTATGTGTTTGTATGGTCTGCTGTTATTTTGATGGCATAATTGTGAAAAGGTGGATGCAATGTCCAGAAAAAATTAATATCTTCTTGGTGTTCTAATAAAATGATTAACTTGTCATCACCCACAATAGAATTGTCATTTTATAATTAACCAAGATCTATATAAAATGAAAGCTTTCATCACAATTAGTCTATAATTTGTAATTGGGTTTTTTTTTCTATTTTAGAATTATACCGTTCCTTCTGGTGACATGTTAATGATGTCTCCTTTTTGGATCCATAGAAATCCAAAATATTTTCCAGAACCTGAATTGTTCAAACCTGTAAGTCGTCTTCTTTCTTTATGTCCTGTTGCTTTGGTCATAGTTTCTGTTCTGCATTATTCACATATGTGATTGGTCGACGAATTATGTTATGGTTTTACGCTCTAATTTCAGCTCATCCCACAAAAGTATTTTTGAGAAATGGTATCATGCCAGTCAAATAATAGAGATTGGCCATAAAATTCAGAATGGGCAGTATGTGCAAATTGGAGAGGAGCTTTTCCCTAACTCAAAAATGAATATTTACCTGTGTTTGGGAGCAGATAAGAAAACAGATAGGCCTGGTTCTGTGTTCTCCTACCTATGTCCTTCAGTCTGTTTCATAGTGCTGAAATTGAGTATCAGCATACATAGGTGTACACACACACACACACACACACACACACACACACACACACAACACACACACACATAAACACACACACACACACACACACATTCTTTTAGGGAAAATTGTAGTCAACTTTAAAATTCTGCCCTCTCCCTTTCAGAATTTTGTAATTTTAGGCCAGAAGGGAACCTCAAAGAGTCATATAGTCCATCTCCTGCCTCTCAAGACAACTGTCAGAAATGACATCCAGATGTATTGACTCAAATTCCTTTGCTTTGACCACCTCCAGTGTCTTATTACCAAGCTTACAATGGAGGAAGATTTTATTTTGGGGCCTGAAACTTTGCTATAAATACTCCTGCTCTTATGAGGTTAATTCTTTAGTTGATTTACATTATCATTTACAATTACCACTTAACAGGATTCTTTTTTAAAATCTTTTTTTATTTATGCATTTATTCTTTAGAAACATAATTATGTCTGATATTAATAACAGGTTGGAAAAAATTACTAGCAACACTGCAACTTTATATGCAAGGATTAGCTGTACAAGGTCATTTTTAGCCTGGAGAAATAAAGTTAAGCTTATTTATACAAGGCTGACTTAGAAAAAAAAAATGTTTTCTTCCCACAGGAACGTTGGGAAAAGGCAAATTTAGAGAAGAATGCTTTCTTGGACGGGTTTGTGGCATTTGGAGGAGGGAAGTACCCATGTCCAGGAAGGTCAGTGAGACAGCTGGATTGGATTTATTCAGAAATTATGTTGACAATAACTCAGCTGAGGAGAGCATTTTCTTAATCTTCCTTTACTTTAAGTCTAAATAGATTGTGATTACTTCATTTCTTGTGAAAGTGGTTAATAACAACACTTTTGTCTTCTGGCACTGGCCAAAGTTTATTCTGATAAAAAAGATCTCATAACTTAGAGTCACAATTGATGTACAAGATTCATATACCAGGCTTTCATTCAAAAAGAATTCATTCATTTATCCATTCATTCATCAAACACTTATTAAGTTCTTATTATGTGTAGTGCACTGTGCTAGGTGTTGAGGAAATGCAAAAGTAAATTAGATTTGGTCTCTGCCTTCAGTGACCTTACAATTCATAAATAAGTTTAGCTGCACTCTTAAAAAAGTATGTAAAACGTTTCCATATTGGTCATTTTGTACAAGAAGACTCAAATAAAAGGAAAAAAATTTTAAAAAAGAAAGTAAAAAATAGCATGCCTCAGTCTGTATTCAGTCAATATCAGTTCTTTGTCTGGAGGCAGATAGTATGCATCATCATTGGTCCTTTAGGATTGTCTTCGATCATTGCATTGCTGAGAATAGCTAAGTCATTCACAGTTCTTCATTAAGCGATATTGCCATTAGTGTATACAGTGTTCCCCTGGTTCACCATGCATCAGTTTATGTAAGTCTTCCCAGGTTTTTCTGAAATCATCCTGCTTGTCATTTCTTATAGCACAGTAATATTCCATTACAGTCATATACTACAGCTTGTTTAGCCATTCCCCAATTGATGAGTATCCCTCTGATTTCCAATTCTTAGACACCACAAAAAGAACTGCTATAAATATTTTTGTCCAGATAGGTCCTTTTCACTTTTTTTGGATGTCTTTTGAATATAGCCATTTAAGCATAGTTCCAAATTCCTCTCCAGAAATGTTGGATCAGTTCACAACTTTACAAACAGTACATTAGTTTTCCAGTTTTCTCAAGTATTCTCCAACATCCAGCATTTTCCTTTTTAGTCATATTAGCCACTCTGATATGTATGAGGTGGTACTTGAGTTAATGTTTATTTCTCCTATCAATACTGATTTAGAGCATTTTTTCACATAACTATAAGTAGCTTTGATTTTTTTGTCTTAGAACTGCTTGTTCATATGCTTTGACCATTTATCAGTTGGAGAATGACTTGTATGTTTATACATCTGACTCAGTTCTCTGTATATTTGAGAAATTAGGCCTTTATCAGAGATACTTGTAAAATTTTCCCCCAGTTTTCTGCTTTCCTTATAATTTTGGTTTCATTGGTTTTGTTTGTGCAAAAACTTTTAAATTTTATATCATTGAAATTACCCTTTATGTGTAAATTGTTTTGTCCTTGTCTTGGTATAAGGTTTGAGATGTTGATCTATACCTAGTTTCTGCCATACAGTTTTCCAATTTTCTTAGCAGTTCTTGTCAAATAATGAGTTTTTGTTCCAAAAGCTTGGATCTTTGGGTTTATCATGTACTAGATTACTATGGTCATTTACTATAATGTAATTTGTAATTACTCTGTTCCACTGATCCACCACTCTATTTTTTAGCTGGTACTAGATTGTTTTGATAATTACCACTTTATAACACAGTTTGAGATCTGCTGTGACTAGACCATCTTCTTCCATATTTTTTTTTCATTGATTCCCTTGATATCTTTGAGCTTTTGTTCTTCTGGATGAATTTTGTTATTATTTTGTCTAGCTTTATAAAATAATTTTTTGATAGTTTGGTATGGCACCAAATAAATAGATTAATTTAGGTAGAACTGTCATTTTTGTTATATTGGCTCAACCTGCCCATGAACACTTAATATTCTTTTTGTTGTTTAGATCTGACTTTATTTGTGTGAAAAGTGTTTTATAGTTGTGTTCATATAGTTCCTGGGTCTATCTTGGTAGGTAGACTCCCAAGTATTTTATATTGTCTAAAGTTATTTTAAATGGAATTTCTTTTCCTATCCCTTGCTGCTGGACTTTGTTGGTAATATTTGTAAGTGCCGATGATTTATGTGAGTATGTTTTGTATCCTGCAACTTTGTTAAAGTTGTTAATAATTTCAAGTAGTTTTTTTTAGCTTATTTTCTAGGATTTTCTAAATGTAACATCATATCATCAGAGACAGTGATAGTTTTGTTTCCTGATTGCCTATTCTAATTCCTTTAATTCCTTTTTCTTGTCTTATTACTATAGCTAACATTTTTAGTACAATATTAAATAATAGAGGTGATAATGGTCGTCCTTGTTTCACCCCTAATTGTATTGTGAAGGCTTCTGGCTTATCTCCTTTATAAATAATGATTGCTGATGGTTTAAGATAAATATTACTTATCATTTTAAAGTAAGCTCCATTTATTCCTATGATCTATCTGCATTTTCTCTATTTTACTGATGTAAGCAATTAGAGATATAAATTTTCCCCTAAATACTACTTTGGCTGCATCCCATAAATTTTGGCATGTTGTCTCATTGTTATCATTTTCTTTAATGAAATTATCAATTGTTTCTATAATTTGTTCTTTGCCTCATGTGTTTTTTTAGGATGATGTTGTTTATGTTGTCTCATTGTTATCATTTTCTTTAATGAAATTATCAATTGTTTCTATAATTTGTTCTTTGACCCATATTTTTTTTAAAGATTAGATTGTTTAATTTCCAGTTGATTTTTCATCTGTCTTTCCATTATCCATTATTGAATATAATTTTTTTGTGCATTCTGTTCTAAAAAGGATACATTTACCATTTCTTGTTTTCTGCATTTGGTTATGAGGTTTCATATAGTTTTTGTGTTGGTGCCATGGACTGCTGAGGAAAGGTATATTTCTTTCTATTCCCATTCAGTTTTCTCCAAGGAGCTATTATATCTAACTTTTACAGAATTTTTTTCACTTCCTTAACTTCTTCCTTGTTTATTTTTTGTTAGATGTATCTAGTTCTGAGAGGGGAAAGTTGAAGTCCCCACTAGTATAGTTTTATTATCTATTGCCTCATGTAACTCATTCAACTTCTTCAAAAATTTGGATGGTATACCATTTGGTGCATAAATATTTAATATTGATATGACTTCATTGTTCGTGGTACTTTTCAGCAAGATATAGTTTCCTTCTTTATCTCCTTAATTAGAACTATTTTTGCTTTTGCTGTTTTTGAGGTCATGATTGCTATCCCTGCTTTCTTTGCCACAGCTGAAGCATAATAGATTCTTCTCCAGCCCCTTACCTTTACTCTATGTGTACCTCTCTGCTTCAGATGTGTTTCTTGTAAACAACATATTGTAGGATTCTGGTTTTTAATCCATTTTACTCTCCATTTCCATTTTATGGGTGAGTTCATCCTATTCACATTTATAGGTATGATAACTAACTGTGTATTTCCTTCTATGCTATTTTTTACTTGTTTATCCCTCTCTTTCTCTCTCTTGTCTTTCACCCTTTGCCTCCTCACAAGTATCTGAATACCACCTTCCCCAATATACCCTTCCTTTTATCAATCCCTCTTCTCCGTTATATTATCCCTGTCTCTATTTACTTCCTTGTAGGGTAAGATAGATTTCTGTATCCAACTGAGTGTCTATGTTATTCTCTCTTTGAGCCAGTTTTGATGAGAGTAAAATTTAAGTTTTGCTCACCACCCCCCTATCTTTCCCTCCGTTTTATTCATGCCTCTTTTATGTGGGATAATTTACCCTATTCAATCTCCCCCCTCCTTCCAGTGCAGTTTTCTTTCTCACCCCTTTATTTTGTTTTTGGGGATATCATCCCGTAAAAGTTACCCTATGTCTGTACACTCTGTCTGCATAATTGTTAAGAGTTATAAATATTATCTTGCAACATAGAAATATAAAGTTTAAATTTATTGAATCTCTTATGTTTTCTCTTTCTTGTTTCTTTTTCACCTTTTTGTTTTTCCCTTGAGTCTTGTATTTGGAGGTCAAATTTTTTATTCAGCTCTGGTCTTTTAATTAGGAATGCTTGAAAGTTCTCTATTTTGTTAAATATCCTTTTTCCCCCTGAAAGACTATAGTCAGTTTTGCTGGGTAGGTGATTCTTGGTTGTAATCCTAACTCCTTTGCCTTCCGGCATATGATATTTCAAGCCCTCTAGCTCTTTAATGTGGAAGCTGCCAAATCCTGTGTAATCCTAACTGTAGCTCCACGATCTTTGAATTGTTTCCTTTTTGGCTGCTTGCACTACGTTCTCCTTGATCTGTGAGCTCTGGAATTTGGCTGTGATGTCCCTGGGAGTTTTCATTTTGGGATCTCTTTGAGACAGTGATCAGTGGATTCTTTCAATTTCTATTTTGCCCTCTGGTTCTAATTTATTTGGGCAGAGATCCTAAGTTGTATTTTAAAGCAGCAACCATTAAAACTACATGGCACTGGCTAAGAAATAGAGTGGTGGATCAGTGGAATAGGTTAGGTATGTAAGACCCAATAGTCAATGACTATAATAATCTACTGTTTGATAAACACAAAGACTCCAGCTTCTGGGATAAGAACTCACTATTTAACAAAAACTGCTGGGAAAACTGGAGAATGGTATGGCAGAAACTGGCATAGACTGACATCTTACACCGTATACCAAGATAAAGTCAAAATGGGTACCTAATTTAGATAAAAAAGCTGATACGATAAGCAAATTAGGAGAGCAAGGAATAGTTTACTTGTCAGATTTATGGAGAACAGAAGACTTTATGACCAAACAAGAGATAGAGAATATTATGAAATACAAAATTGATAATCTTGATTTCATTAAATTGAAAAGTTTTTACACAAACAAAGCCAATATAACCAAAATTAGGAAGCAGAAAAGCTGGGAAAGAATTTTTACAACCAGTGTCTCTGGTTGTAAAGGGCCTCATTTCTCAAATCTGTAGAGAACTGAGTCAAATTTGTAAGAATACAAGTCATTCCCCAATTGATAAATGGTCAAAGTATATAAACAGGCAGTTTTCA